ACATTATACATTAATGCAGGATACCATCAGCTATAGAGGAATACAAATCCAGCAATACATTATGGATCACAGGTGGATTACATATTAAACTCCCCCTTCCTCCCAAGCCCACTGCACACATATTAAACTTCACCCCCTCCCTCCCCCAAGCCACCAGCACACATAATAAACTTTCCCCCCTTCCTCCTTTCCTTCCAAGCCCCCTCACCTGCTTGCATCTTTGCAGGGAGGAGGCACATCATCGTTCCCTGGTTATCTAGTGGTGATTAGTAAGGTCTAGTGCAAACATTACTAATGATCCATCATTCCGCCAGAGCTCAGAACTGACAGAGCTCCACCCGGAGCTGACAGGAGCAGCTCTGCGGTCTGCAATTGAAAGAGATGCAGACCACGCAGCTGCTCCCGCAAGTCGGGCACGCGGTCCGTGACCTGCCTCTCCAGCCAGGTAGAAGACTGACCAGAGGCACAGAGGGCAGGATCTTAGCTTTGGGTAGAAAAGTATCAATCTTTATCTCAAACAACTTCAGTTCTGTTATCCTCCTGAAGTATAATAAAAGCTTTTTGATATATATTCATAAATGGCTTGTGGTTTACGTTTAGCCATGACTGGACGTATGCATGAATCTGAAAATCCATTCTCGAGTTGTCATTTTTTATATGAGATCTTATATTTCAAAGGATGAGGGGTGTCTGAGAGAAACACTATACCGCCCCAGGCTGGCAGCAGTAGTGGAAGGTTTATTCATCTGCATCTGAGGTTTGTGTCACTCCTGAGATATTTAATGAAAAGGGTGGTAGAAGGCACACTAAAGAGTGTATGGGCTTTTACACTGCTGCAGAACAAGCTGCAAAATGCATTATGGCAAACTTCACCGCCTTCACAGGGCAAGCCACTCAGAGGTAACAAACACTGCTCTGTTAAAGCAACAGGTTCACTTTATTCCCCCGTTACCAGCAGTACATACCTTTTTCTATTGCTCCCATGCAGGTGCTCAGAGATGTAAATACTCAGTACTTCTGGGTATGGAGAAGCACGTGACTCACTCCCCTTCCTGTCATGTGACAGTGACCCAGTGTTGTCATGTGGGAGCAGGAAGACAGCACTCAAACTTGTATAAGCTTTCTCGCTCTTGGCAGATGATCAGAGCATAGGAAGAAGCAAAACAATGGCAAATATGTGCTGCTTTGGAAAAGATACATTAAAGCCCAAGTTTATATTTTGTTCTACCTGGTTCCCTCTTCCAGCCTCATTAACATACTAATAACATTTGTAGAAAAACCGTAGCTTTATTACAAAACTAATTTTACATGCAGTGATGTCATCATTGGCTCTCTGTACAATGCAGGCAGTTCAGGGGTGATGTGAGGGGTGGCACTACTCCTCACATAAGCCCTCAGGCCTGATGCAAGCAGTAGGCTGGAGCTTGGGAGGGGTTATGTAAATACCAAAACACCTTGATGGGTGGATGTCAGTCTGGAGTAGGGCTGCAACAAACAATTATTTTCATAATCGATTAGTTGCCCGATTATTTTTTCAACTAATCGATTGGTTGTATAAAAAAGAATGAGAATAGTTAGCAACTATTCTCATCATCGAATATTGTCAATTAGTTGCTGCAGCCCTTGTCTGGAGGAGTGGGCATTCTTAGGCAGTCTTCATTTACATGCAGATCAACGGAGGTAATGCACACATGCCACACAGAGCCTCCATTCCAAGAACTGAAATCCAGTGAATGAAAGGGGTAGGCCAAGGATAGGAAGGCTGTGGAGGAATGAGTTTGATGATGTTGGATGTTCTTCAACCAGGAAATGAGACTGGTTTTGATTTGCTGAAGATTCTAATGAACACTGCAAGAAGCTTACAGTGTGCAGTGAATTTAGAGTAAGCAATTTTGGTACAAGAGAGGAGCCTCTATAACTGTGCAAGACTGAAGGTAAAGCTGGAGTTCAATTTTAATGCAAATGCCCTGCATGGGCAAAGCAGTTATGCTTTATGAGTGCTCACATAGAAACCAAATATAAGCCCCCTAAAATAGATCCAAATATGGATCTATAGCAGTCAGCACCCAAGACCAGAGAGTATGCTGTGAGGCTGCCTGGATCTGTAAAATTCTAGCATCCTACAGGCTGCAAATGGGCAGGGGGGTGTGGGGGGGCATGGCAGCAAAACGGACTACAGGAGCTACAGGCATGCCGTGCATTGGTACGACATCCTGTTACTCCTCCGGTAAACCTAGGGACGCACCCTGACCACACATGTATGCATCTGCATCTGTGCTTCCTGTGGTCAGTTTGATAGAGCAACCATGGGCAACTGGCAATATCACTAGGTATTTAGCAGCAACTTACATAACAAACTTTAAAGGCTACATTTACTAGGAACAATATACACACACATAAGGAATGTTTATTTTTGGGGTAACATACACTTTAAATCAATGCCAGACACTACAAGGGCACAAAGAGAACAATTGTTTTCTATAAGCCTTGTTGCCTTTATGTGCATTGCAGAAAAATGTAGACATGCTGCACGTAAGCCACGTTCACATTGAGCGATTCATCGCGCGGTAATTCCCGCGATATCGCTGCAAATTACCGCGCGATATCGCTCTTCAATGCATTTCAATGGGGCAAAGGGTCCTGCTGTCGCGGGTCGTGTGTCGCTACAGCAGGACCCTTTTTGGAGCGGATTTAGCCGCGATTCAAGCTTGCTCAATACAAGCTTGAACGCGATATCGCGCAATATGCAAATCGCGCGACAAACATGCGATTTGCATATCGCGGAGTGTGAATGGGGCCTAACCCAATGCACCAAAGCTCACCTGAGGTCATCTTCCGTCTTCGCTCCTTCAGTCCATAGGAACGAATGCAGTGTCACCCGGTCATTTCAGTAAGGGAAAAAAGAAAAGAACAGGAAAACAGTGCCTTGTGTTCTACCAGTGCAAGACACTGCACCCCCTGAACACTAGCCCAGGCGCTAAAGCGATTCATTTTAGCGTGTACTTATAAAAATGTGAATAACTTCTTGCCAGAAGCAAAAACAACCTAGGCAGCGAGCACTAATCCAACAAATGGAGCCTGGAGTGTGCCGATCGTGTTTGGATGGAAGGATTGTGTCAGCCTTCTTTTTGAGACTGCAGTCGTTGATCCACTTTATATTTGATTTTATGTATGTAGATTTTTAATAAATGTGCTCTTTTATACCATTGATGGGCACTAAGGAGCCTTTTTTTATTCCTAATATGCACCTGGAACTCTGAGGGATATACACACAGACCCTGGAAGCTTTGGCATAATGGTCTGGGCAGACACTATACAGTGGGTCCTCACCAGGGAAGAGCAATTGTTCTCTTGTATTCCAGCTTTGCAGCCGTCTGGGTCCTTCTCGCCCTATTAAGTGAAAGAGGATTGGCGTTGCTTGACCTTGTTCAAAGGTCTACATATAAGGCGAGCAGCACTCCTCTGGGTGATCGGCAATTGTTGAAGTCATCGTTGAACTTCTCACATTGCAGCTGTATATGCACCGTTGAACTTTATTCATTTTTGGGACACTGATATTTAACCTCCCTGGTGGTCTGATTTTTTTTTTCAATTCTTGTCTGTATTTTTTTTTGGTCTTTTTTTTACTTTTAAATTTCCCGCTGGTTCCGCCCCCCTGCGGAATCAGCCGTAAGTGTGGCGCTGTGTAATCCCGAGTGTGGCTCGGGGTTACCGCTTTTGGTAATGAAAATTAACCCTGAGCCACACTCTGGAATACCGGCAAGGAGGTTAAAAGAGAACTTTGGGGTAAGTGTTTTTCCCCATAGTTCTCTTAAGGGTCATGGGAGGAAATATACTAGCGTCCTCCCGTGATCCATAGCTTAGTATATCGCGAGCTACAGCTTGCGGTATACTGAGACCGCCGCAGTCGGGATGGATTCCGACATTAATGTCGAGATCCACCCAGGTGCGTGACAGCTGGCTCTGCCTATCTAAACGCAGAGCCAGCTGTACCCGCCCCCTCCCCCATCCGTTCCTCCACTCAGCGCTGGAGAGGGGGGGGGGGGGGGAGGAATCCCTGCAGGGAGCCGTGACTGAACGTCACGGATCTCTGCAGGGAGATGAGCGAGAAGTGAGCGAGCGACGGTATGTGTTCGCTCACTTCCAGATCTATTGAGTTGACGTGTGACAGTTTCATTGTCACACGCTGGCTCAAACTATGAGGATGAGTGATTCTCACTCACCTCATAGTTCTCCTTTAACACTTTTCTTTGCAGGTATTTTGGGCACTTTATTAAGATAGATTTCATGTATTGATGTCAATTTATATAATTTATAAGTGAATTACGTTCACTTTTATGGGATACATATTAATTCGAGATGATTTCGTACACATTGTTTAGAGAGATATAGCGCGCACGGCACATAATTCAATATTTTTAATTTTAGCGTGCGGCTAGTGTGAATGTGCACTAAAACACACTTTCCAAGTGAAATAGCAGTTTTGCATGTTCTTCCAATGACAAATTAATCACCACACACATAAAGTTAGAAAACGTTTACTTAAAAAATACAAATCAGCAACAATACAAGGGTGAATGAGAAAGATACATGGAGAATGTGGTGGTGCAGTAAGATAACAAGGCCGGCTACTGAAAGCAAGACTTTTCGCCCACAGCAACCCAATTCCAGCTGCAAATGAAGTACTCATAAAAACGAAAGCAAAGTTCTGATCGGTCGCTGAGGGTGACAGGCTTTCCTTTCCTGTGGTTTGTGTAAATTATTTTAAGTTTCTATGGTTATGGTAAACTATAACCATACAACCTATGACCCGCTGAGCAGCAATCACCTGTCTTTTTCCATGGGGAGCCGTGCTAATTAGGAGCCCTCAGCGTCTTCCTCTATCTGCAATTGCAACCGCACAATTCATTATAGCAGGGAGGAATGCTTGTTTCAGCAGTTTTTATGAGCGGATTTGGTCAATGCTTCCTCCCAATCTACACTGTAAGCTTCTTTTTTTTCCAGCAGCTTGTTCTGGTGCAGAGACTCTGAGAAACCTGGATTATCCTTCCTGCTCCGCAAGACGCTGCCTGGTCTCCATCACTATATCTTCAATAACCTCTGTCTTCAGGAGATCTTTAATCTGAAAAGTGAAGGAGGGAGCGCTTTGTCACAATGTGCAGCAGTACCGAGCTTTAAATGCTAACGTCACCCAAGGGACAATGTAGTTTTGCATGGTCACTAGCAAACCGAGTTATATGTCAGCTTCTTCTATCCCTACAGGGCACTAGATTTATATTCAGTTCTGTCAGACTGTGGATTAAAAAAAATAAAACCCATACAGGAGATCCCAGCAAGAAGAGAGTTCCAGGGAAAAGGGGCAGACGCAGACTACTGCCAGCAAATCTCAGTAGTGTTGTCACCAAGAGATAGAGAAGGGCCGTTTGCTGGACTTTTGTTTTTTGCAACAACTAAAGATATATTGAAATGTTAACTATAAGGGTTTTGCTTCATTTCTTCAAATATCTTTCACTTTTTTACAAGATTTTAAACCAATGGTTTATAGCAGTTTTTACTGTATAATGCATACAATCTTTGTTTCACAAAACATTTCCTACGGGGTACAACAATAAAGGATTCCCTGGTCTACTTGTATGCGTATATTGCAGCTTGAGCTATTGAGCTCTGTAAACACCAGGCTTCTTACAACAAGATTTAAGGAGAAAAATAAACCCATGTAAAGGGAGCCCAAAAAACTTCACCTGCTGGCTAGATACAAGAATACAAAATATTCAATATTCATATATACTCTGCCTTTTACTTCTTGTAGTACCATTATTTAAAAGAGAACTATGGGGTAAGTGTTTTTCCCCATAGGTCTCTACAGGGTCACGGGAGGACATATACTAGCGATCCAAAGCTCAGTATATCGCGAGCTACAGTTTGCGGTATACTGAGACTGCCGCAGCCGGGACGAATCCCTACAATGCTGTCGAGATCCACCCAGCTGTGTGACTGACAGCTGGCTCTGCGTATCTAGAGGCAGAGCCAGCTGTACCTGCCCCCATCTCCCATCTGTTCCTCCAGTCAGCGCGGGAGGATCGGAGAGGAGAGGGAATCCCTGCCAGGAGCGGTGACTGACAGTCACTGCTCTACACCGGGAGAAGTGAGCGAGCGACGGTATGCGTTTGCTCACTTTCCGATCTATTGAGCCAACGTGTGATAGTTTCATTGTCACAGGTCGAACTATGAGAATGAGTGATTTTCACTCACCTCACAGTTCTCCTTTAATATGAGCCTGTGCTCACTTGACAAACACTAAACTGTAAATCAGAAACCCACAGGTAACCACGTGTACGAGCATACATCAGAGTTGCCCCAGGAGTCTTGTTCACACCATGTCTGTTGGGCTGTGTTTTTCTGCACACATGTATGGTGTGAACAGGGCACACAGAAGGAAATTGTTCTTGATGTGCTCAGTTTACACCATGCATGTGCAATGGTGTGCAGAAAAATACAGCTCAATGGACAAAGTGTAAATGTACACTTGACAGTGCATACACAGTGCAGTGGACATTCTTGGCAGGCCTTGGTCAAGATGACGAAACATGCTGAACCCAGAAGAGCGGCGGAGATGTCAGCGTAGACAAGGAAGCTTGCAGACATCACAATGCCAGTGTTCTGTCGAAAGCTCCAACTCCTCAAGATCTCCAACCATCTGACTTCCGGTTTAGTTAGAAGAGGTTTGGCTGAGAAGGCTGTACTGCACGTGCGCCACCCGCGGCATTTCCCTATACACCTACTACACAGCAATAAAGTATTAAAATAAACTAGGGTCACACTAATCCAGCACGTTATTCATCTGAGTTGACCAACTCAATATGGCCGCAAGCGGAGGACATATTGAGTGGGGCAACTCAGATTAATAACGTGCTAGATTAATCTGAACCTAGTTCATTGCAAGACTTTGTTGCTGTGTAGTACACGTATGTGGAAATGCCGCGGGTGGCGCACGTGCAGTACAGCCTTCTCGGCCAAACCTCTTCTAACTAAACCGGAAGTCAGATGATAGGAGATCTCGAGGAGTTGGAGCTTGCGACAGAAAACCGGCACAATGCAACACGTTTCAGAGGAGTGTCAGGCTGTCAGGCCTTCACGCTTGAGAAATGAGGATACTCCTCTGAAGCACTAGCTTTGCAATGCCTGATCCCTACCACCTGGAAGAGAACTGTAGAGACGACCCTGTACAAGTAGCAATGAGACAGAGGCAAACTTGGTTACCGCTAGCTCTCCAGGCGGTCTTCTAATCCTGGTGAAGGGATAAACCATAGTGCATGCTCTTCATTACTTGTAGTGTGACAGGCGCTTTTTCTCCAATATTATGTAAGTGCATTACTTTTTAATTTAATAAAACAATGTTTTAATACTACACTTAGGTCTAGGCGCCTGGTTGTATGTTCTATTGCTTTTCACTAGTGACCATTAGAACGGATTATAAACAGGTTGACTTTTCCCTCTTTAAACCTTTCACTATCACAGATGTAATAGATGAAAGTATCATTCTAGGCAGGGCAGAGACCATGTGTGTGACGTACCTGGTGCGCTAGAGATGCTTCATAGCAGTACAGGACACTGGTGTCGTACATTAACATCTTCTGAGCAGCTAGAGCCAGGATGCAATTTCTCAGCCGTGAAATCACTTCACGATCAGATAATGATACAGGCTGAAAAGAAAAAAGAAAGTTATCAAAACTGTCATCTGCATATGACTACAATGACCAGTTAACATACATATTTTCCTCACAAGTCACAAAAAGCTTCAAACTTTTATCTGTGTCAGACATTTGTGAACACAGCTAAGAACTGCATAGGCACCAAGATTTACATGACTGTCATCTATGCATCCATGCCAACATTTTGCAAGAGAAAAAACAACAAGGTTAAGATATTGTTAGGGGGAGTACCGTGTGTACCTATAAGGTTTAGTTACACATTGCTTATTATTACTACATGTACTGAACATGAAATATGACATCTGATGCTAGGTCTAGTTTAGTGGTCACAGTCTCTTCTTTGCACATTGAGTCAGCTTCCACTTTAAGTTTTTTCACATCTAGCAATGATACAGCCATAGATATGAATGCATATTTAGGAGCCTACATTCAGAGCTTCTATGTATATATTTATATTAGGGATGCACCGATATATCGGCCGAAAATGGCACTTTTGGCATAATGCTGAAAGTGCCATTTTCCTGCCGATACATCAGCGCATCCTTTTCTCTCCTCCCCGCTGGGCGCTGCTCTGTGTCCTCCTCCCACACCGCTCAGCCTGTTATCACAGTCTGACAGAGCGGTGTGTGGGCAGAGACAGGCTGCGCTGTCACAGGAGGCTGAACTCTCCTCCCTGCACCGCTCGCTCAGCCTCCTGTGACAGCGTGTCAGACAGGAGAGCGGGTACAAACACTCAGTGATCACTGAGTGTTTGTAGATACTTGAGGACATGGTATGTTTACTATATCCTCAATTATGAATTAATAGGAGTGATCTGCATCACCTAATGTTCATTCATAGTTGTAGTGATAGTAAACATACCACGTCCTCATGTTATCAATGAACAGGAACACTCAGAGGATTCCTGTTAATTGATAACAGGGGACACAGAAAAAGAGATTGAGGACACTGTGTCCTCAATCTCTTTTTCTATTTTAAAAGGGAAATATCAGGGGTCTGTTTAGATCCCTAATATTTCCCCAAAGCCCCTAAAAGTAGAGTAAAAAATAAAAATATTTGATAAAAAATGAATCAAAAATATTTATAAAAAATGTTTATAAACAAATAAAAAGTTTTAAAAAAATACAAAATAAAAGTTTAAAATGTTTTTTAAAAATACATTTTTGGTTTCTTTTCACTTTTAACATTTCCATTTCGGTGCACTTCTAATTTATATACTTTAACTGTGGAAACCGAAGAGGAGCTGGGAAGCTATGACCTTTGATTGCTTTATACATTTTAATTTAACACTACACATGTCCCTCTACAACTACCAAAGCAAGGCAGACTTACTTGACTAGAGAGTGTGGCTTGCTTAAAAGAAACCTCCACTTATAATGCATACTAAGCGTGAACCAATGGGTTAAATAACTCGCCAACTTCTTTAGAGTTTAGAGGCTACAATAGTGATATTTTAAGGCAAAAATAAATGTGTGATAATTTTTTTTTGGGTCACAGGACTCCCCATTTACGAGATATGATATACTTATGATATAAATATCCACTGTAGAAGCATGCGGCAGCTGAACAGAGCTGGGAATTCTGTGAGATACCTCTTATTGAGAGCTATAGGAGGCCAACATGTGCCTAATCTTGTGTACAACTCATGGGTCACTGCTGGATGCGCTTGCTGTTAACATCAAGTCTGCTGTGATTCAGCTCACTGTTCATGCAGGAAGAGAGACCAATTGTCACCAGCCACTACAGTAGTGGCTAATGATTTTTACAATTTTGCGACAGGTTCTCTTTAATTCCCACTGCACCCTCTTTTCAACTGCCCCAGCGTTCATTCAAGCTGTGTTGCCAACACTGTCCTGGTGTTTTAAATAAGTCAGCGGATTACCTCCAGATTGGTGACAAATCCCCCCGCTTCTTCCTCGGTCACCTCTGGCGTGGGGGACAGCCAGATGAAGCCATTGTTTCCCAGAATGATGGAGGCTCCACAGGGAAGAGTGTGAAAGTGAGTCTTCCTTCTCTTTACCAGCGAAGGGGATACTTTAACCAGAACGCCTTGTCCAAGCTAGAGACACAAAAAGACCAACAAAAGGTGACATATCTGTCAAAAGCAACGATCAATTATACATCACTTCTAACAGCTCATACCTTGCCATACTTGAGGCTGCGAGTGTGCAAGGAAAGTGCGCCATCTGAGTACACTGCCTGGACCTCAGCCTGAGAGAATGGGTGAAGGAAGAACCAAGCAAAGAGGTGACAAACCGTAAAAAACATTTAAGCCTTTGACAAAGTAACCAGAACTGGAGAACCCTAGAGCAGCCTTTTTTCCAGAAAAGGTCAGTATGTCAACCCTTTTATAACTTTCTATCCATTTACAGCATCAAGACTGGTAATATAGGTTAAATGAGAACTGTGCATTATATTGTATATTGGACTAACTAAACAAAGCATTAGACATACCTGGAATAGCAGAAATGCTGGGGTCAGTCTTCTGACAGCCTCATTTAGAATTGGTTGCAGGTCTCCTTGCCTACCTATAGTGTGCACTTGGGATATACAGAGAGGGGGATTTTTGATGGGTTCACATTCCTCACTATGTGGCAGGAAGTGATACGTTCCGCTTCCTCATATTCCATGAGCATGCCGGGTGTGATTAGGGATGAACAGACTAGGTGTGATTAGGGATGAACAGACCATAGCCCCTTCCTGCTTGCTAAGCACTGAGGACGCCAGAAGCCATCTAGTTCTAAAATGGCACTTCTTGTACAAGGTGCCAGGCATCGTCTTATGTTTACACAAGTCCAATATTTAGCTAGGCTGTGTATCTGCCCCAAAATACTATATAAGTACCATTATCCCCCAACACCTGAGTATAGGTCCACTTTAAGATAGGAAAAGAAAGAGAAGGAGAATAGTTAAAAAAGGTACATAAAAACTTAAAATGAAACTAAATTATCTGCCCATGCACCTTCTATCCTCAGTGGGTGTTTTTTTAGGCTCCTGATGTTAAAATGTCCTGAATTTCCATATGAACCTGCTGCTTGATTTATATTTCCTGATCCAGGGTTACAATGCTCAACCACTGCCTTACAAGTCAACGGTGGCCTTGTCTCCTTAATGCGAGAACTCCCTATGTGGCAGTTTGCAGACTACATTACCCTGCCCAGGACATGTAGCCACAGCAGCACCAGGAAAAAGTAGCCACATCACAGGAAATGAGGTGTGACTACAGGTTCTCACTACCCCACCTCCTTGGCCCAGCATAAACTGACACACACATTGTCAGGGGCCACATCTGATAACAAAAAACAAACAAAAAAAGATATTTACTTTAAATTTTAGACATCCAGTGCCTGAAGTTCACCTTCATAGATTATCTCACAGAAGTGAGTACACCCCTCACATTTTTGTAAATATTTTATATCATTTCATGTGACAACACAGAAGAAATGACACTTTGCTACAATGTAAAGTAGTGTGTGTACAGCTTGTATATCAGTGTACATTTGCTTTCACCTGAAAATAACTCAAACGCACAGCCATTAATGTCTAAACCGCTGGCAACAAAAGTGAGTACACCCCTAAGTGAAAATGCCCAAATTGGGCCCAAAGTGTCAATATTTTGTGTTGGCACTGGAGTCCTCTTCCACTACTCCATGACGACATCATGGAGTTGGTGGATGTTAGAGACCTTGCGCTCCTCCTCCTTCCATTTGAGGATGCCCCACAGATGCTCAATAGGGTTTAGGTCTGGAGACATGCTTGCCCAGTCCATCACCTTTACCCTCAATTTCTTTAGCAGGCAGCGGTCGTCTTGGAGGTGTGTTTGGGGTCGTTATCATGTTGGAATACTGCCCTGCGGCCCAGTCTCCAAAGGGAGGGGATCATGCTCTGCTTCAGTATGTCACAGTACATGTTGGCATTCATGGTTTCCTCAATGAATTGTAGCTCCGCAGTGCCGGCAGCACTCATGCAGCCCAGACCATGACGCTCCCACCACCATGCTTGACTGTAGGCAAGACACACTTGTCTTTGTACTCCTCACCTGGTTACCGCCACACATGCTTGACACCATCTGAACCAAATAAGTTTATCTTGGTCTCATCAGACCACAGGACATGGTTCTAGTAATCCATGTCCTTAGTCTGCTTTTTTTCAGCAAACTGTTTGCGGGCTTTCTTGTGCATCATCTTTAGAAGAGGCTTCCTTCTGGGACGACAGCCATGCAGACCAATTTGATGCAGTGTGCAGCGTATGGTCTGAGCACTGACAGGCTGGCCCCCCACCCCTTCAACCTCTGCAGCAATGCTGGCAGCACTCACATGTCTATTTCCCAAAGGCAACCTCTGGATATGAGGACGCCGAGCACGTGCACTCAACTTCTTTGGTCGACCATGGCGAGGCCTGTTCTGAGTGCAACCTGTCCTGTTAAACCGCAGTATGGTCTTGGCCACCGTGCTGCAGTTCAGTTTCAAAGTCTTGGCAATCTCCTTATAGCCTAGGCCATCTTTATGTAAAGCAACAATTATTTTTTCCAGATCCTCAGAGAGTTCTTTGCCATGAGGTGCCATGTTGAACTTCCAGTGACCAGTATAAGAGAGTGAGAGCGATAACACCGAACTTAACATACCTGGTCCCCATTCACACCTGGGACCATGTAACACTAATGAGTCACATGACACCGGGGAGGGAAAATGGCTAATTGGGCCCAATTTGGACCTTTTCACTTAGGGGTGTACTCACTTTTGTTGCCAGCGGTTTAGACATTAATGGCTGTGTGTTTTGAGGGGACAGCAAATGTACACTGATATACAGCTTACACTCACTACTTTACATTGTAACAAAGTGTCATCACATGAAAAGATATAAAATATTTACAAAAATGTGAGGGGTGTACTCACTTCTGTGAGAGTGTGTGTGAGTGTGTGTAAAGCCACACACACACACACACACCTCCCTCTATCTCCTTATGTTTAGATGAGGTATAGGTATTAAGGGCTATACAGTATACATGACGATATAGTGGATATGGCCTGAAATAGTTATCATGCAAAATTATTTGATCCTTTCTATATCTTCTTATGTGATTCATCATTAACAAAATTACTTTTTTTTTAAACATATTTCTGTATTTTTGGCCCCTTTAAAAATCCCATATAAAAGGTTCCTTAATTATATTTATTTTCAGTCAGTAGATAATTTGTCATTTCAGCAGGTGTAATTCCCTGTAGCATAATATTGGTAATGAGCTGCTACATGTCAGTGACATCAGAAATCAGATTGTTGCTGCAGCTGCTATCTCTGTAAACTCACAAGGCACCTTGGTGATGAGGGGGGAGCACAAGACTGGAACCGCCATGGTGTTTGTGTTCACAAGCAGTCCAAAGCGTAACGTGGCAGATGCACAAAGCCTGCAACACTGCATCTGAAGTACCCCATCGCTACTACCACACTTTCACAACCTACTAGGTATAAAAGTTTTTCCAGGTCATCAATTTAGAGTTAACCATGAATAATGGCCCTAGAATGATTGCTCTGGTATGCACAGCCATACCTAATAAGTGTATCGCATAATTTTTGTATGTAGGCAGACCCAACGCGCGTTTGCATGAGTAAGTGCGTGTACACAGGGACAGGGGACTTTACAATTTAGCACTTTTTTTTCAGTGCAGTGTGGTGCAACATTGTACAACCGTATTTTAAAAAAAAACAACTGCCATGCGCTGCTTTTGGCACACCCGCACTGTTTTTCTCACCGCATACCTGCAGACATGAGTTTAGTGCAGCTTGCTGGTGTAAATCGACCCAGAAAGTTACAAAACACATTTTGTACATGTCACTGCAATAGGAAGAGAAATGAAAGTGACATCTAAAGTCACAAATCTTTTCCTCCCCCCTTCCAGCGCTGGATTATCTTCTTCCTTTCACTTGTATTCAACAATCCCTCCAGCGCTGGTGCCGGTCTCTGATCCAGCACAGACTGCTGTCTCTTCCTGTCCCATGGTGTCTGTCCGATGTGCACGCTTCCGGCTGCGTGCATTGACTAACAAGGAGTCTTTCCTCTTCTCCCCGCCCCATCATGACGCTCGAGAAGCTCCAGATCTTCAGACGGAAGCAAGATTCTCTGACTTCAATATTTTCATTGTACTCTATGCAAAAAGAAAGAAAATAAGTGAAGCAGTGTATGGCACACAGCAGATTTCTTTTATCTGCCAGTGCTGAGTGAGGTGGTATGGGAGTATGGGACAATGGTGGCCATGCCCATAAGAATCCAACCAGCAACTCAAAGTATATCCTCCCACTTTAATATCCAGCATGCAAAATGGACCATCATGGCTTTACTGTATATATGAAGAGCTGCTCCTTGTAACAGACATTCCTAAAACATAACTTTTATTCTTCTAGTCATAGAGCCAAAGATATCTTGATGGGTTTTGATGTCTGTACACTTTGTCAGAGGAGCTTGACTTATTCCAGTATGCAGATCAGGAACATCCAAGCAGAGTCAGAAGTCCTTATCTGCATTCCAGCTGTTGATAAAATAAAGTAGTAAATTGTAAGTAAAGCCAAACTTTTTGTTTAGTTTGGGATAGAGTTGGGAGAGTTTAAAACGCACTCTGTACAGATGAGAACTCCTCTCTTCTTAGACAGTTGTCACCAGAACAGGTGTCGCCAGTGATAGATTAACCCTCACTTCTTGTTCTTTGGACAACTCTAAATGGTTGGATTTAACTCACTTTCTTTCTCGGTGACCATGGTCACCAGAACGAATAGAGAAGCCAGAGGTGGACAAATGAAATTCAGGAGCCAGACTGACCAATCCAGGAGCCAGCTTCATTGACAAAAACTAAAAAAAACAAAAACCCTCAAAAGTTAGGAGCGTTGACTACCTGGCTCCTGGGATTTGTCCAGCCCTGACAGAGACTGGATCTTCTCATAGAGGACAAAAAAACTCAGCAGTTGGTGGTGGGTACATACACTTTAAAGCCAGAGGATCAGTATGACAACCAGGCAAGGAGAAGTCAGCAATGGAACACTCCATATCTCGCTTTAACAAGGAGCCCTTCAGGATAAAAACACGGGAGCTGCGTCTACCAACTTGATTTAAATACTGCATGCTCATGGGTTGTAACTCGTATATCTTTCTTCACTGCTAGCTGAATCACAGAATCAAGTTTGCACATATCAATTGTCCCAACATTTTACCAACTGCATGCTTATTCCAGGTCAATTATGCAATAAGTAGAAAACCTAGGATCAACATGACAACCCCACTTCAGCGCCTTCAAAAACAAAGTAGTAATGGCAGCTCTTGTATTTATATCCTGACAGGTTACCTTCAAGCTAAGTAAGGCAGCAGGGGTGGACGATCTCTAAAGAGTTTCTGCATTACTTTTCAACCTTACCTTTGCCAAGTAAGCCAGTTTTTGTGCAAAAGTTTTAACTGCCCATTTATCCAGAGTCACCCTATATATATTAAAGTCCCCTGCTACCTAGCAAAATTGACCAAAGTGGAACTTGTTACTTTCATCCATTTGTAATGAAGTGCCCCTCAAACACCATAATTTTGTTCAACATTAACGGGTTAAGCATCCTGTCATTTCGCGCCATATCAAATCCTGTTGCTCAGTAACAGCACCGTAGAAGCCTTGCGAAGTTCACTCTGTCGCACGTGGAGAAATATGCTGGCAAGACGTATTTATAGCTGGCACAGCTGCCTGGCACAGCACCCCGCAAGTCAGCTTGCACCAGCCTGGCTTCTGTCAAAGGATACACTAATCAAGTCTCCTTCCTGCAGGTAGCTCCTCATTGCCAACTCGTCCTCTGCTGACCTTCTCCTCTGTAAGAGAACACAAGACACGGGGGGGGATCAATGGGCTGTATAATAATGCAGAGTCCCAGTGTGCCAGCAAGGTCTCCAGGGAGACACTTGTGTCATGTAAAATATGGAGCTAGGGAACTGCCAAGGAATGTCACTCAGAGAAGTACAAACTCCAGTGCATGATTTAACCCGTTAGGGAAAAATAAGTCAAATGCAATAACTCACTTTGCTTATATAGATCTATATACAGTTCATGTTTGCTTTCACTGAAACTCCAAGATCTCTTTTTATAAGAGAACTGCAATAGGAAAAAAAAAGTAGAGTAATAAATAATTCACTGGCCGTGTGTCCTTATAGCTTGTGCCTGATTTGGCGGAAAAACTCACAATCTACATTCTAATTTGGGATACTACAACAGAAAAGACCTGCTCGCTCCATGGAGATGTGCGTTTACGAGAAGGTTAACCATTGCAGACTGTAATTTAAGCAATAAGAACATTCACTGAATTACTGAATTCAATAACGCTAATAAAATAAATAGCTCCTGCAGGTGCTAGAGTCTAACAACATAATCTAAAAAATCAGAAGCACTTCTCAAAAGTGAACCCATGCCTTGTCCATGCTGGGCAACCTTGAATACTCGTAAGATACTGTAACTGTAAGTGAGTGAAGCAGAGGGGGGAAGAGAAGACTAGGTAAGTTTGTGCCGCTGGGCAGGCAGGCATTTCAATGAACCTATTGCTTTGCCCTGCATGTGCAAAACAAATAAATATCTGCCAACGTAATCAGTGAGCTGCTATCGCCATCCTGGAAACACTGCAACTGTGCTGAGGCAGTTCTCAAAAGCAGTATTGAAAATCGATAGCACACCTGAACATGCCATCGATTGAGCCAGAACACAACGCAGTGGCTAGTGGTATCATTAATACATACATAACCATGTTTTTACAAGACGGCTTCTGGAGTTCTTTTATACTAAAATTGATGCAAGAAAGTGGTTAGCAGCTACTCACTGAATTTCCTGCCTTTGCTTCAATAAAAAAAAAAGAAAAGAAAGAAAAAGTATGTTCTGCTGCAATTTCTTTGGCAAAAATATGTATTCCATCTCACAGAGATCACAGTACTCCCCTTGACAATGCCTTCATCTGCTTTAACCCCTCTGAAGGATTGAAGGATTAAGACATCTTCGTTTAAAGGAAAACTAAGGGGTCATGGGAGGACACAAACTAGCATCCTCCCGTGACCCAAAGCTCAGTATACCGCGAGCTATACACGCCGCAGTCGGAACGGATCCCGACATTGCTGTCGAGATCCACCCAGCTGCGGGATTGACAGCTGGCTCTGCCTATCCAGAGGCAGAGCCAGCTGTGCCCGTCCCCTCCCCCGTCCGTTCCGCCAGTCAGCGCTGGAGGATCGGACAGGGGAGGGGGGAATCCCTGCAGGGAGCCGTGAGTTACAGTCACGGCTCTCTGCAGGGACATGATCGAGAAGTGAGTGAGCAACGGTATGTGTTCGCTCACTTCCCGATCTACTGAGCCGACCTGTGACAGTTTGTCACGGGTCGGCTCAGATTATAAGGCTGAGTGAAAATCACTTGCCTCATAATTCTCCTTTAAAACTTTATCTAGGGACACTATCTACTTCCTAGACACAGATGCTGGTTCAGGAGACTACAGTCATGTAGATCTCGGATACCTGGGCAGCTCTTGGCTGTGTTCGCAAATGTCTGACACAGATCTCCTCCTGACCTTGTGACTTCCATCATACATCATCTCCAAGGGAAAATCAGTTTACTACAACTCATTTCAAATTTAAACATTGCTGTGTTGCTGTACATCAGGGGTGCCCATTAGGTAGATGGTGATCTACCAGTAGCTTAGAGAGAGAGAGAGAGGAGAGAGAGAGAGAGAGAGAGAGCGAGGAGGGAGAGAGAGAGAGCCAGGAGGGAGAGAGAGAGAGACAGGAGGGAGAGAGAGAGCCAGGAGGGAGAG